AAAAAACCTGGAGCAGGCAGGTAGCATAGTGGTTGAGGTGCTGGACTCCCACGTGGTAGACCATGGTTTGAGTCTAGGACCTGGCTTTCTCACTTTCCCTTTCTCTCTCTCTGGTCAAATTATAAAAACAAACAAACAAACAAATAACAAACAGGTCTCATCCCTTAGCATAGTGGTTAAGCCCTGTGCATAAGGGGCCTGATTCCATGTGGTCAACTCCAATTCAAATCCCAGTACCAGCAACTTGAAAATCATGCCAGTCACACACACGCATGTGCCCCAAACCCTGATGGGGTAGAGAAATGGAGGAGAAGGAATTAAAGTGTAACCACGCCCCAGGGAGGAATGCTTCCTCTGTCTCTCTGGCAAACACACATACACCTACCCTCTGGGAAATAATTACGTGTGTGTGTGTGTGTGTATGTATATATACACACACATACTATTTTGCTGCTTTGTTTAAGGAGGGTGATTATACTGATTGTTTTGAGACAATTATTCTGGCTACTGGGATGAACCCAAAGAGTGGCTTCATCCAAGGCTGGACGGGCAGTCTCTGGATGGATGTTTTTCGCAGAAGCAGTCCTTGTGTCAGATTGCAGTGGTCTTTGGGCAGGGTTGTGGGTTCTGGCAGAATTCTTCAAATAGCAGCTCTTGTTATCAAGTATTCTAATGTGAGAAGACACCTCCTCCATGGCTTTTCTGGCTCGGCTTAGTCAAGGTTGATTCCACTCTGAGTCTGAAAAACTTTCACATCATTAACAAGTGGCACTCTCTTTTCTACTGCCAGGACCGCATCTGTCCGTGATCTGATAACGCCTTCTTCAGATCCATTCTCAATCGATTGAAATTCACTGTCTGATCATTGAATCTTTGACTCACTAAGTGACCTGATAAGGGAGCTTATTTTATCCAGTACTGTCATTTCCCAGGTTTTCTGCTTTCTACCTTTGCAGTTTAGATCTTCGGGCTCATTCATTTTGGCTTTTAATATGAGTTTGTCCTAGATCTAATTCCCACAAGATGAGTCAGAAAACAGCAACCACCATTCAAGCTTAAAAATACTAGAGAGGGCCAATGTTTCTTTCCATTGTCAGACTTGTCTCCAATTGGTACTGTACCTGAGAGAGAAACCATTTCTATGGGTCAATATGAAAATGTGGGTGCACGGAATGCTTTTATTGTTGTTCTGTAGTTTTTCAACTAGCCAGCAGTGGCAGTTAAAAAGTAATAGGATAAAGTACACTGCAGATGCAAAGGAAGAAAAAGTGGAATTTTGTATATGCCTCTGACAGGTCACTTATTCAAAATTCTACAGAGTACTGTGAACTGCTGTAACCACTGAAAGGCAATGTAAAAGGAAATACGATCAAAGCAGCAGGAAGAAACTGTGATTAGAAAATTCCATACAAATATGTATCAGGCCATATGCTGATCAATGATTGGGAAGATCTGGTTTAATCAACAGATACTTGGCACGAAATCTGTTGGTCCTTAAAGCTAATGTGGAACAGATAGGAAAGTTCTGCTCTTCTCATAATTTCTTATCTTTCTTGGCTGAATTCCTTCCCATAATGCTCCTTTTCAGAGCTGGACAGTGGAACTTTTCAGTGAAGGAAATGAGAGATGAAATTTGTCATCCAGTGAAACATTTATTTTTGAGAGTGAAAGCAAGTTTATTTGAAACATCATTCTTTATTACTGAACATTTTCTATTTTAATATTTTATTTATTTTTTAAGTTTGTTTCTTCCATGAGTGAGAGAGACAAAGAAAGAAAGAAAGAGAGAGAACACAGAACTTCAATGCTACAAGTCACTTCCAGCTTTAGCTGACCTCAGAGCATGGTCGTGGGCAAGTGCATGCCCAAGGTACTACCAGAGGTCTCGAGAGGTGAACCCAGAACCTTCCCATGTGGGTCAGCATCACAGAGCGTTGCGTTTTATTACTGCACCATCACTCAACTCCTATTTTTAATATTTTAAATAAGCTTCAGCCAAACTTGGGTAGTTATTTATAATGAATTAAGAAGGTCTCAGAAGCAGAACCACTACTCTGTTAGCTCTTTCCTCACAGCCTTACTGGGAAATGGGTCTGCCTAGGTAGGAGAAACTTATGAGTACTCAGAGTTCATGGCATTAGCTGAGAGTGAACTTTTCCCCTACTTGGAAGGAACAGAATGTTAGCTTGGGTGACCACAGATCAAAGAAGAGTGATTCGGCCATGCCTTAAGGCCTAAGCCACAAAGATGAGTGTTCCAGCTTAGCCTAGCCCCCTCCCATTCAACTCACCACTTCCTCTCTTGGTGAAACTGCTTACACTTGCATGGGTTGACCAGCTGTCCCACTCACCTATCCCACAATCTAGCTCTTCTTCTGTTTTTCTAGTAGTCTTTACTCTGTGGGGAAATGGCTCTGCACATTATATTTCTAAGGCCCCAGGCTCCTGTAAATTTACTCAGACCTCTGCCTTGCTGGCCGCATTCTCTCCTCTTGCTGGCCCCATTTTCTCCTCCTGCATTCTCCAGTTACTGGAGTGCTCGCCGTATTTCTGAGTCTCCCCTGACTCAGAAATCACTGAGGTACAGTATCTTTTAGAGGTCTTCCTCAGACATGAGTGTGTGTAAGAATCACTTAGAGACCCTGTTAAAAAAGCAGTGTCTGGGCTAGCCAGTAGTGTAGTGGTTAAGGGAGATGAATCAGACATAGCCAACTGCATGTCTCAAGTCCCAGACCTGGCAGCTTAAAAAACACGCTGGGCTCAGAGCCAGCAAGTGGCATGGTGGTTGGGGTTCTGGACTCCCACATGGTCAACTATGGTTCGAGTCCTGGACCTGGTGTCTTGTTTTCTCATTCTCCCTTTCTCCCTCTCTGTCTCTCTGTCTTTCTCTGGTCAAATTAAAGAATAACAATAAATAAATAACATAAAATAAATAATTATCTAAACAAACAAACAAGCTGGGCTCAGTTCCCCATTTCCCATAACAGAGTCATTTTATGCAGAAATCTTGTGAGAACACTGCACAAACAAGGTGATGATTGTACAAATGACTACTCAATTCCCGACCTGGGAAACGTGGTAAGCCAATGGCAGAGAATTTCCAAATGGAGTCACTGTACCAGATATTATCAATGCGGAGTAAGTACGAGGTAGAACTCTCTCTCTTTCTGTGGACGCTAATGCATTGCAGAATGAACGAAGACACTGGAACTGATTATATAACCCCTGACAGCTGTCTCAAGTGGTTCATGGTGGAGGTATTGGAACTGCAGAAGACAGTAAAGACACACATTTGACTAACGGTGATTCTGTGACTTCATTCTACTGATCCTGGCAGACCAAGGTTATTCTGGATGGAAATAAACTTGAAAAGATAATGTTCGTATAATATAAAAGTGCCTGATTTTCCCCCTGTGCAATTCTCACTTTATACATTTGATATTCAGTTATGTTTGTTATCTGGGAAAAAGAATAAAGCATACATTTTGGTACATACGTGTCAAAAATCCCAAAAGAATGGAGGAAAGGGATTGTGGCATGGCCATCCCCCCCAGGGGGGGTAATTTCTCACTTTCTCTCTGTTTCTATTTCTCTCCAGTGAGCACATTCACCCTATAGAAAATTTACACACACACACATACATACGATCGATATATATATATAAATTATATATATATAAATGAATTAGAGTACCAGGTTTCAACCCAGTTAAGTCTGCAGGGTGGTCTAGGAATCAACATTAAACAAAAGCCAGCATTTCTGATGCCATGTTTATGTGTGTCTGTTTGAGATGACACACACATACACACACACATACACACACACACAAACATATACTGGCATCTATCTATAGCTATAGATATATATATAGCTATATAGATATATATAGATGTATAAATATAGATATTTAAAGTTTATTTATTTCTTCTATGAGAGAAAGAGAGAGAACGAGGCAGAGGCACCCGCAATAGAATCTTCATGCTATGACCTGCTTACACCTCAGCCAGCCCAGAACATGGACACACGTGTGCATATGTGCCCAGGGTGCTCCAGGATGTCCTGGGACACGAACCCAGTACCTTCACCATGGGGGTCCAGTTGCATCACCACTACACCACAACCCAGCTCAGTATCTGCTTCCAAAGAGTATACCAAATTTCATTAAACTCCTTTTCATGTAGACTGGGCCCAGAGAGAGAGGATTAGGTGGTTTACACAAATACAACATAACAGAAAGTCAGTTTCTTTTGCTTTTTCCCAAATTCCCACCCACCCTGAGTTAGGAACATACTATAGTATCTTTTTCTTCTTATAAGGACTCACAGAGAAACTTAGGCTGGAGGAAGCGATTGGTCGTATTGTGCAAAGCTTGTCCAGTCCTTCTGATTTCCTCAAAAAAAGGAGGAAGTGCTGTACGTGAGTCACTGCTATCTTGAACTAAGTCTCCTTCACCCTCCTCTCTAAATTCGTCCCGGAGAATGTGGAGCCGTGTGAATAAGCTGTGCTTTGGGAGCAATTTTTTCTTAATTCACACATGAGCCTCTTATCATTTTGAGGCTTGAGTCTCCCAGCCAAAGCACCATGTGGGGAATCAGCCCCCTCGTGTTTCTTTTCTCTCTTTCAGTTCAAAAGGCTGTGTTGGACTGTGGTACGGTAGCAAATGGTAAGTGCTGTTTATTTCTCTTAAGATAGTCATCTTTAAACAGAGCAGTCATTTATAAGCTCTGCTATGCTTTTAGATGAACAGCCCAAGAGCAAAGTCTTCTCAAAGACCTACTGTTTAAAATAAACAGTTTTGCGGGAGGAAGATGGAGATTTTTTTCCCTAAGACTCAGTGACAAAAATATTAAGATTGTTTTTACAATGCAATTTTTCTTTTATTGTTGCCAGGATTTATTTGTTTGTTTTTACAATGCTCTCTTCTTTTTCCTTATTCCTGATAGTGTGTGTGTGTGTGTGTGTGTGTGTGTGTGTGTGTATATGTGAGCGTGAGAGTGAGAAATACCCTCCACAGGGACTGGTCATCCCACGAGCCACTTCTTCCAGTCCTCCAGCCCATCATATTTTGAAAAAATTCTTATTTATTTTAATTGTATTTGTTGTTATTAGTATTATTATTTTAAATTTGACCAGAGAGAGAGACAGAGAGAAAGGGAAAGTAAGAAAGCAAGCTCTCAGGTCCAGAACTCAAACTGCGGTCAGCCATATGGGAGTTCAGTGCTCTAACCACCATGCCGCCTGCTGGCCCCAGCCCATCAGATTTTGGACAATGTGTGTGTGCCTAGCATGTGTCAGGAGGACTGGGCCAGGATTTGAACTAGAGTCACCATGTGGGATCAAGCTTCTCTTAAAAAGCACTCTCCCAATGTGCCACAGAGTTGGTTCATTTGCTTGCTTTTTTTTAAATGAGAAAGAGATAAATAGAAATATATAAATATATTTTGTAAATATTTATCTATTCAATATATTCATATATATGTATATATATAAAGATTTATGTATTTAACGCCAGAGGGTGTGTGTACTTACTAGAGACACAGAGAGACAAAGAGAGAGGGAAAAAATAGCTCCAGTGGAGTGCGGCTATGCTATGACCCCTTCGCCTGCAATCCCTTCTCCGTTTCTCCATCCTGTCAGGATTTGGGGCACATACACATTTGTGCCTGGAGTGTTTTTTGAGCTCCTGGGGCTAGGATTCGAACCTCAGCCAACTTGTGTGGGATCTGGCTTTCTTAAACACTAGGCTGTGGGGCTGGCTCAAGTTTATTTTATTCATGAGAGAGTGTGTACACGCATGAGAGAGAGAGAGAGAGGCACTCCCAGCAGGATGCATCACACCATGATCATCAGTGTCACAGCATATTTTTCTCTGCAAAAGTGCATCGTGACTTGACCCAATAATTTGTAGCTGTCTCAACACTTCCAAAGCTGAACACTTTCGCATGTTTATTGGCCATGAAAGCTCTAGCGTTCCCATGTAAAGGAAATTGAGGGAGGCGGGGAGGTGAGGTCTTTTCTTGGAGGTGAACTTACACATGACTGAGAAAATGTCAGTTGTCCAGATAAAAGAATGAGAGCAGAGGAGATGGCATTTCTGAAGGATCGAATCTGTCCTTTACTCGGGTCATCCATTGGCCCGGCGCTATTTAACAGTCTTCTGCACCCTTCATTTGGAAACTATCTGTTCATACTAGACCTATTTATGTGATTGTTTGACCTTTTTCTTATTGATTTGCAATAGATTTGCAGCTGATATATCCATACACATGCAGAGGGTCTTTTGCTTTGATTGCTTTTATTTGTGTTTAAGTATTTTCTTCTTAGCTAACACTTCTGTATTTCGTCATAGGTTAGTTTGAGGGTAGTCAACCTTTTCAGTTCTTTGGTTTTTTTTTTTTTGTTTGTTTGCTATAGAACTTTCCTGCACTCACACAGAGAGAGAAAGCGATAAATCATCCCCTGGGGGAACGGCCAGAGCACAATCCTTTCTCCCTCCATTCCTCCCTTGAGATTTTGGTCACCATGCGCACGCATCCAGCTCGTCCCCCAAGCCGCCGGTCTAGGGTTCAGCCCAGACAGTGGCCACGTGTGATCCAGCCACCCTCACCACTGTGCCGCCGGCTGGCTCCCAGTGTTTTCCTCATGGCTCCTTTTTTTTATTTTAATGGCAGCAGATTTTTATAATAATAATTTTTTTTAAAGTTGAAATGCCCAACACTTATGCTTAACACTTGGTATACATATAAAGGTAAAAGGCTATGCTGAATAGACACAGGATTTACAGAAAGATGTTACAGGTATATTTAACTGTATTTTATGAAAAAACAAGGAAGAAATCACTCTAAAAAGGGTAAGACTTATTTTCCAATCCTCTTTGGTTATCAGAAGGTGTGTGTGCTTGTGGGAGAGAGAGGCTCCCACTCACCTGCCCACGCACCATGCAGCGCAGTTACACCACAATCCTTTCTCTTTTCTTTCTCCTTCCTGCCAGGATTTTAGGCAAGTGCACACACATGCCTGGCATGTTTTTCAGGCCATAGGTTGCAGCCGGTCATGTGGGACTGTGATCGCAATGCACAATGCCTAACCACCATGCTACGGTGCCAGCCCTATTTTCCAATATTCTTTTTTTCTGTTTCTAAGACTTATTTTATTTTAACTGTACTTATTTTAATTGGACCAAAGAAGAACAGAGTGAGAGACAGAGAAGGAAAGGGAGAAAGCAAGCCACCAGGTCCGGGACTTGAATCACAGTTGGCCATGTGGGAGTCCAGCGCCCTTAACCACCACACCACCTGCCAGCCTCCCTATTTTCCAATATTCTTTATCTGCATCCTCACTCCCACCACATTCCCGCCCACTGAACATACCTGCCTGACCCGCTTTCCTGCCGGGCACTTACACCACTCCACTAATCCCACTGGCCCAGAGAAAAAGGTGTTTGGTCTGAGGCTCTCCAGTCTTTATCTTAACCTGGTTTCAGACCCACACCTTTAGTCAGCCTCAGGTTGTTAAACAACACCAGCACCGCTGGCTGGTTTGGACCTTAAAAGCCACCACCTGCCAGAGAGGTGTCTCTCACTAAATTCTAAATCTGTTAAATTACTTTTCAACAAAAAGGAAAAAAGCAGACATTTATCAGAATAAGACCACACTGGGAAAGTTCCTAACCTCTCCTCTCAGCACATGGCTGATCAATGAACTATGAGGAATAAACAACCTCTCCCCGGGTGTGAGGCTCCACCAGCAGCCTCTGGGCCTGGCCTGCGGCGCTCAGGAAGACGCGTTGCCTTAAGACTCAGGCTAGTGGTGTCACTCCAGTGGCCTCTGCGAAGGAGGCCTTGCCAACACCACACACAGACGCGCAGTATCCAGCCCAGGCCTTGTGCCTGCCCTGGCCCAGGCTTCATTAGCAGGATCCAGGAGAGGGGAGCAGCCGGTATTTCTGTTGGAGGATGGCTGTGGTACGTTCCAGGGCACAGCCTGCACAGGATGCCAGACTTTCTAGGCACAGATAAATCAATCACGGTTGAGCCGAGGCGACCCCAGGGTTATAGCTATCCCCAATCTGCCCTCCAACAAGGACCAGGTAACTGAAGCCAGAGGTCTAGGAACTCCTCCATTTAGAGAGCGGACCTGGGAACTGAGGTTGGCCCTGGTGACAGTCAGCAGGCTGCCAAACATCTGGGCCAAGTCCTGCATGAAGGTGTGTGTGGTCAGGAATCCAGATGCCCACAAGCTGTAGATGTCGGCCACACAGCCCTTGCTGTGGCCCTTGAGGCGGTACCCAGAGCCCAGCGCAGACCAGCAGCTCGCTGAGCAGCCCACAGCCCAGGCCGTACAGTTTATCGGTGGTGATGCCATGACTGTGGCGGTGGTGCGCAGCCTGGCCACAGCGGCCCGGCCATGGCCCTACTCCCTGGGAGCCACAGTAGCGGGGTTCCCAGGCTCCCAGTGCCGCTGCGGAGCTCAGCGGGCGCACGCTGGCAGCCACCGCGGCTCTCCATTGCTCCTAATTTTTGCATCTTACTGAGGACGTAAAAATATTTCCTTACACTTCTCTTTATTCTTTCATGGTCTTTTTTTTTTTTTTTTTTGTACATTCTACTTTTGATAAGGGTTATCTTTTTGCCTTGACCTTTCTTTCCTTATAAAGATTTTTGCCGTGGGGTGTGTGCACTCTCTGGAGTGAGACAGAGAGAGAGGGAAAGTGAGAAATCACTCTCCAGTGGGGAGGGCCACACCCGTCCCTCCTCTTCCACTGTGCCCTCTGATTTCGGGTATGCACACATACGCGCCCAGAGTGTTTTTCAAGCTGCTGGGTCCAGACCTCAACTCACAGAGCCAGCCGTGGGATCCAGCACCTTAACTACCTGCTGGCCCTGCCTTGACATTTCTAAATATATATTTTTAATGAACAAGCTATCAAAGACTATTGGGGTCATGTCAAAAGAACTAGGAGATGATTTGAAAAGATTTCCAGTGGTTTTAAAAAAAAATGAGGGAGCCAGCAGGTGGTGTGTGGTGGTTAAGGGCACCGGACTCCCACATGACCAACTGCAGTTCAAATCCCAGACGTGGCAGCTTGCTTTCTCACTTTCACTCTCTCTCCCTTTCTCTCACTCTGTTCCTCTCTGGTCAAATTTAAATAAATAAATAAATAAATAAATAAATAAATAAACTTTCCTTTAAATAATTTT